ATATTTTAATTCCTTATAGTTGTTTCTTTAACTATGTGCAATGAAATGTATGTGTTACAGAGTGTAAAACAAGTGATAATTAGAGTAATGAATTTGAAAATATGTAGGGTGAAGTGGTCATGTGCTATTTTGTGGTACTACTACAGAATATTCCTAGCAGGACTAACAAAAACCATACTAAGTCTCAGTTTAGGTAGCCAGTCTCAGTGACCACATTCAAACCCATCAGCTTACAAATACAAACCAATCTATTCAATCTGAGCATAGCCATTACAGCTGACAGAAGTAGAATGCCATTCATAACTGTGCCTCAAACTAGGAGACTTACCAACTGCAGCCATCATGCCTTTGATGAGCTCTGCTTCTAGGGCTGCCCGGCCACAGTAGTATGCTGCCAGCACCATCTGCTCTGCTGTGAGGCAACCATCCATGTAGCCACAACCCAACTCCCCCACTGAGTGGCCCACAATGCCATCGGGCTCAATTCCCACTGCTCTCATGACATCCACCAGCCCTATCTACAGTAGAAAGACAGGGCTCAAAAATAGTTTGCTTCATAATTTGTAATGCAGACATGCAAAAGTATCATTATTTGTTCAGGTTTTTATTAAAATAAACTATATGGAAACAAAGTGCTTATATATTACGGCAATCACATACATTATAAATTCCTATTGAGCAGGTTTCTATTATTGTCATGGTACAGTGAACTCTTTATGCATTAAATGGTTGCCAAGTAACAATAGTTATGTAAACATAGATTACTTTTGTACTATAAATCAGCTGTGGCTGCCTACCATCTTGATAAGAGATAAAGAAATGGAGAATGATGAACAAAATGATTACCAAATTTAATCAGAGTAAGATGTGTGATTAAGGACTTTTGTACCTTGAAAAATTGACAACTACAGGCAGAAACTTCATTGACAGGTAACACATACACACATCACATACTGGATTGGAAATTTGAAATTTTGTGACTTGACATGTACACCCCATGTAATATTTCACTAAAAATTTTGTTTCTGATTGAAGTTCTTTTTGTCTGATATGAAAATATATTTCATGAAATTATGTTAGTTATTTTCTTGTAGCTTAACAGAGATTATTAGGTGAACACAAAAGAACAGGGGAGAAAACAGTTATGAGATATTTCATAGTACTTTCCATCATTTTCCTGAAAGAGCTAACAAATATCACAAAAATATTTAAACATAAAAATGTTTTGATGTGAAATAAATCAAACGCTATGCTTTCAAATACGTTACAGATATGTAACAAACACATGTCCTGTTTGACTGTCAGGCTTTGGTCTAATTTTAATTTTGCCATTTAGGCAGGATTTTCCTGAAACCAGGTGACTATCATACAACCCAGCTAAGAAGGATAGTGTGCAACTTTTTATTTAATGTATGCTGTGCATGGTAGTAACACACAAAGGCTATAGTTCCCCTTCAGTGGATGTGATGTGTTCCTAGCTCGCAAGCTTTCTTCACCTTTATCAAAGCTCAGCCATCAGGTTTCAGCTGTTATGCTATAAATTAGGATACAGACTTAATATAAAATATATGGGTTGTAGTAGAAAATGAAGTAAAGTTGTCCCACTATACATCATGTAGGCACCTTGGGTGAGAGGAGGTACAGCTCCTACCCATTGGACAGGAGGCTGGGTGGGCCCCAGAGCCGGTCTGGACACAGAGGCTAGAGGAAAAATTCTGTGCCCCATTGGGGAACAAACCATGGTCATCCAGCCCACAGCCAGTCACTATGCTGACTGTTACCCAGTTCATGTAGTTTTTTTATTTGTAGTGTTCTGTCTGACGACAGGTCCATATATTATGAACAGAATCCTTCCAACCTCTTCAGGTTGTCAGGGACCTGCTCATACATATATACATTCTTGGCAGAGATGATCAGAAGTGGTTTGCCATTGCCTTCTTCTGTGTGTGAGTTGAGTAATTTTTGGGATGCCACGGAGAAACCGGGGAAGCCCCCGGAGGAAAACTCCGTGATGCCTAGACCACGGCCTTGCCCAACACAAGTTATAAATTTGAGCACCACCGGGAATTGAACCCGGGACCCCAGGCTTACAAGGCTAGTGTTCTGACCGCTAGACCACCGTGGCGGTTTCATGTAGTAGAAAACAGAAAACAAAATTAAATCTTTTACTCATCCCTGAGTGTAGAGCTCTTGTATTACATTTTATTGAAATATCTGTAGTGGTCTAGATGGTGGATTATGCAGATGGATGGATGGACAGTCTTTATTTATGTGTCCAGTTAGTGCACTAAATGAATATAACACATAGAATAAAGAAGATATCACACTTTTGGATTTTATCTACCAAAACAGATGCAAAATGTCAGGTGACCTTGATTTTCATAAAAAGAAACATGGAGACAGTGATACCTGATATTCATAAATAGGTTTCTGAAAAAGGATTTTAAAATTTCCACCACATTCTTTTGCATATTTCAAAAGTAACATTAAGTACTCGCTTTGTAAAACATACCTGGCAGGCTGCAATACCCACAAAACAATTGAGGATGTTATTAAGGATCCTGGGTTCATCAGATGTAATGATACTGATCACATCAACACCATGAGGTTTGAGAGCTTGCTGGCACTTGTCAATGGCTGATGCAAAAACAGGAAGTTTCAGGAGGGACTTTCCCATACCTGGCCACTGTGAACCTATGCCAGTGAACACAAACCAGACAGGTCGTTTGCTTCCAGGATAATACTGGGGAAAAAAACAATGCTGTGTATGAGGTTATGTTTTTAAAATGTTAGCCAGTATTATAAACACCTCAGTTCTGACTACATGGTCATTCCACCTCAGTTCAACAAATTCCAGAAAAATCAGTAGCACTCAGTATCACATAATTTTATATTAAAATGTGCCCCCTTAGAATTAGTATGAACATTCTAAGATTGTTTTGTGAATTATCTTTGCAGACACTTATTTCCTTATAATAGTGTGTTGTACAGAAACAGTCACTATGTAATCTTTCCCCAGGTTGAGACTGACATAAGTCTAAAACCATCAATTGCATCTACCCTTAAATTGTACACCTGTAAGGGTACTTTTACGGCATATTTGCATTACTGCTATTGGGAGTCAATTTGATGGTGTATTTTAGGTCAAACCTTACCACAAAATGTCATGGTTCCTGTATACTAGCCAAAAATAAAGATTTATGATGTCACATATCTCAGGATGCAAGTATGAAACTCTAAACACATTATCATCTAAAGAAGGAATCTCAAGTGTATTAAAATTGAAGTCAAAGTTTTGCATTTAGTCAGATAAGTGAGTTAAATAAAATGCAATTTCATTATATTGCAAAAAAAATTCCCCTTTTCATATCTCATTTATTCAGGTCTGAGAGCTCACATACACTTCTCATCTATACCAAAAATGTATTGGTATATAGCAAATAATATACTCAACATTCAACATTGCACTTCTACTCAATTCTGAAATAATCCTATCTCGAAATGTACCATGTGAGCGCATCAACCTTGTTTTAAAGAATGCCAAGAAAGTCCTGATCCAGGTAAGAATTCACAAATGGAAATGAACTTTAAATTCAGGGTTTAATAGTTTAGTGGCATGCTGCTGCAACACACAGATATATGGACTGTGTATATGCCGTGACACATGACTGATGAAGGTAAAACATGTATATTATTGCGGATGGCTCTTTCAAATAAAGCTTGACAGATATGCACTGTGCATTCCATGCCAAGTCAATAAATGAATGTGGTATCACAGGCAAAGTAGTATGACCTCTGAAACGTTGGTGGAAATCTACCAGACTACACGGCGCAATAACCCAGAAGACAGCAAACTTCAGACTCACCGCTGTGATAACCTCAATTTCTATGGATTATATTTTTCTAGACATGCTAAATCTTCAATTTCTGGGATTATCATATAGGTTGCTAGGACAGTATATTTGTGAAGCATTGGAGATGTTCATAGCTTTTGTCATCTTGACATGTCAGTTAATACATTTTGTTTGCTTGACCCCTTCCCTGATTAACCTGAGATATGTCAGGATAATGACTTAATTTGTAGGATTTGAGATTTTCATGGCGGTGAGTCTGAAGATGGCTGTCTTCTGAGTTAATTTGTTTTATCTTGGAATAATAGTTATTATAAATGTTTTTCATTCCAACATATATCAGTCATTGAATCGTGGGTATATTCCAAATGTTAAATAAAAAAATGATTTTCTGGGTCATATTTTCAGAAAAAAAGTAATCAGGGAAGGGGTATTCGCTAGCTAAAGTACCCATATTTACTCAAGTATTTCATGCAATTAACTATACTGAATTGATTATAGTCTTCTGGCAAGCTGCCCTGTGTTGCCTCCATCATCAGAAAAATGATCATTTGCTTTTCTGATATTTATGTTTTCACCCAATAAATCAACATCATCAGCATAAACCAGAAGCTGATGTGTCCCATTCACTTGTTTGTATTCTTGGACTTCAATGGCACATTCTAAAGCAAAGTTGAAATGCAATGATGATAAAGCATCTCCTAGTTTCTGACCATTGCAGAAAAAATATTCATGAGACAATTGTTTATCTATATGGAGTTAGGTTCGGTTTATTTGAATATATTTTAATTACCATAACTAGTTACAGTCGTGTACTGAATTAAATGAGAATGTTATGTAAGGATCATTTCTGTAGTACACATTCCTGCCAACAGTCATCAACAGTCAAGCTAACTGCTCCCTGTTTTCTTTTTTAAATTATTTATTTTCAGAGAAGCAAACAGGGATGTCCATGCCAAGATATACTTACATTAACACTCCGCAGCTTTCTACCATCTTGTGTAAGAAGTGTGTACCCACGGTACTTATGGCCAACAATTTCTGTTGACTGAAGATCATGCATCAGGTACACAAATTCTGCATCAACTGGCCTGCTTTCAAACTGCACATGCAAAAATAAAATTAAAAAATTATGCATAAACTACTGACTTTCAACTGGCCACAAAATGATCACATAGCATCATAAATATAAAAACATACTGTACAGAACTCGATGAGATGTACCCTGTACAATATGTTAGAGATAGTTGACTGGCTATTAAAAGAATTGGTATGCCAAGATTGGCAGCACAATAACAACAGAATTATCAATAAACAATTAGCAAAAAAAAAAAAATTAAAAAGCAAGAACCATAAGCTACTGATCAGAGAATAACAGCAGAGTTTATGTGTGTGTGTCATAATTGTCACCACACATCATAACATAGAGATTAATACTCCTGATTTATATTTTGGAAATCCTGGATATGAATGTTGGCCTAAAGACCAGTCAAATTCAGTGATGTCTAAAATTAGTGTCTGCCCTGACTATTGTTATCATTAATTCTTGTTTCTTTTAATGCATTAACATTAACATTAAGATGGACCTTAGGGAGATAGGAATCGAAGGAGTGAATAGGATGCAGCTAGCTCAGGATGGAGGCTGGTGGTGGGCTTCTCTGAACATGGTGATGATCCTTTGGGTACCATAAACAAAATGGGCTATTCTTTGATAAGCCATGTATACAATAGACATTTCAAAAAATATACTTGACTATAGAGTGAGTACCGCCATGGTGGTCTAGTGGTCAGAACACTAGCCTTGTAAGCCTGGGGTCCCGGGTTCAATTCCTGGTGGTGCTCAAATTTATAACTTGTGTTGGGCAAGGCCGTGGTCTAGGCAACACGGAGTTTTCCTCCGTGGCATCCCAACAATTACTCCATTCACACACAGAAGAAGGCAATGGCAAACCACTTCTGATCATCTCTGCCAAGAATGTATATATGTATGAGCAGGTCCCTGACAACCTGAAGAGGATGGAAGGATCCTGTTCATAATATATGGACCTGTCGTCAGACAGAACACTACAAATAAAAAAAATAGAGTGATAATGACAACCAGTCACCTGAAGACAGGAATAGAGCCAACTCCTGAAACATAATGTGTATCAAATAAACCTCAGTCAATAGCAAATGTCCAACATAGTGTTACTATAATGATGAACCCACTGTCACATAACTATAAACAATTTGAAGGAAACTAGTCTAAGTGAAAATTACATAAAATTTTGTTTAAATTAAATATATAGAAATCCTTTATTGTATTCCACAGTGATATTTTAGAAAAACTCCCATGCAATCTCAGCAAGAATAACTGAAATATTAGATGATAATTAGTGCTACTGTGAAGTAAAATAATGCATTTGTGGTGAAGCCAAACTTGACAGTAGGAACATTTGAATCTTCTGCATGATCATGCCCTCAGAAGAAATCTCACTCTATTAATGAGCCACAGTGAATCATTCACTTATGAAATTAATGCCATGCATGATTTCTGTTGGGTAATTTATACCCAGATCATTTATGAATGGCTTGACAATTGCCACTTTTTGAAACATGTTGCTATAACTTTACAATATTAAATTAGATATAAAAAGAGTTGTGCGGACAGAGAAATAATACCTAGTATTGACTGCTCAGTCAGGGTAGTTGGTAACTCAGATTAGAGCTTAAAAGTGATTAGTTCTTGAATAAAAGTCTGCAGTATACCAACCTGTTACTTTTAAAGGAATCAAGTACGGGTAAGGGTTTCATTACATAATGTCTGAAATTAAAGAGATTAGTCACTTCAGAAAATTTAAAACCACTGTTTCAGAATATTGCTATTAAGTGGAGCATGACACTGCGATAGCAAGCCTACTCACATTTGTAAGGATGACATCGACTGCCTCTTCTGTGCGCCCAGATGCAATAACAAGTCGAGGAATAATGTCATCAGGAGCCCCACCATTTACTTTGTTCTTCTGATTCCGCTGTAGTATGATGTGGGTATTTGATCCTCCAAAACCAAGTGAGCTGACTCCTGCAAGGTTGCCAATCCAAGGCATCGTCTCATTCACAACCTATGAAAAGAAGTACTTTTGCCTGTATATGGTGAATATATCTTCTCATCCTCTGCCTGCCCTGTGAGGTAAAAGAAACCACTTCCTATGTTCAGGCATTCATGAACTGATTTCGTTAGTCAAAATGTTAGGATTAAGAACAATAGCCAGTAAATTGGGACTACACCGACAACTGATATCTGGATTTCCAATGCCTAAGCTTCAGTAGAAGAAAAAGCCCTATTATAGAAAAGAAATTCTATAACCAGATATCAGTGGGAATTGAAACAAAGGACCTCAGAAGAGAAGAGTAGAGTAGGCCATCATATAAACTCTACCTGACCTCAACATATTATATTAAATGGACACTTCCTTATATGTGTGTTTTTCACTAAACAGAGTACACAGTATTGTCAATAATATTTCAAGTCAAGTGATGCTTCCACACTTGGTTTCCCTTATATTGTGTTTTCACTCTTCTCCCCACTGTCATTATGGACAAACTGAGAGTAATAGTTTAATGGCAGAGTATGTTTCAGGGGCCCTGAGATTGTGAAAACTCTTTGAATGATTTTGGTTTGCCAATGAATGTTGCACATTTAACTATATATTATATTATGCACAGAAATGAGGACTAAACTATTTAATAATAAAGATTTCAGAAATCTTCATACTCACCACTGTGAAAACCTCAAATCTTACATATTTAATAATTATTATTATTAATTGATAGGGCCTAATACTATAAAAATCTTCACACAGAGTAAAGGATTTCAAGTTGGAATCCTCAGGTTTTCCAGGAATGTCTCATTTCTTTCTATAAGTTCCATAAAAAATCAGTGTTAAAGACGTTGTACATATAGCAGAACCATATGATGAAGCATGGCATGGTTTACCAGAACTTCTGTGCCCAGTAAAGTTAGATACTTAAATGAATTAAGTGACAATATGAATTCATTCTGTCTCAGAGAATAAAAATAATTCAAAGTCATTCTGATGTGACATACCTTTAATTGCCCATTTACAAGTGATTCCACATCTTCTCTGGGATTGATGTAATGCAGATTTGGAGGGATAAAGCCAGTCTCCATTGCAATGATCACTTTGGTAATACCACAAAGACCTGATGCCCCCTCAGGGTGCCCCATGTTGGACTTAAATGACCCTATCAGAAGTGGTGTCTTCCTATCTTTACAGAATGCAAGGGTTATGCCTTTCAGTTCTTCAGCATCTCCAACCTGCAAAGTCCAAAAATTGCTGTCTAACAAGAAGAAAAATTTGGTTGAACAGTCTAGCTTCAGGAAAGGTTTAGCAACTGAACACGCAGTATTAAAGCTAACAGACAATGTATTAAAATCTAATGACCAAAAAATGCATTTAGAGGAATTTTTTGTGACCTACTAAACCATTTCACATCATGAAATTTTGTTGGCTTAATTATATTTTTATGGCATCCAAGGAACTGCTGAAAACTGGTTTGGATTCTATCTTATGAACAGAAAACAAAAAGTGGAAATAAAATCATTTAGTGTAATTCCAGATGTCTTCTCCAATTGAGGAATAGTGACAGACTTCTTCAAAGGTCCATTTTAGAGACTTCACTTTTCATAACTTACATAAATGACCTTTCAAGAATACACACCTTCTCACAAACCATATTTGCTGATGACACTTGTGTCTTAATTTCTAATAACGAATTTTGTGTGTGCGTGCGTGCATATACATATGTGTGTACGTAAGTATGTACATAAGTATGTATGTATGTACGTTGCAATATCTGTCAAAACTTTGGTTAATACTCAAGATTTAACAAGGCTCACACCCAATACCAGAAGTTTCAACAGAAGTTGAACTGACTGAGGCTGAATAGGTGAGCAAGTGGCCTTCCTCTTTGACTGCTAGATGATATTTATACATTTACCCACAATATATTGGTAAAGTATATCACAATCATAAGGAAATACTACACTACATGCATAATATCACAATCCAAAACTTCATAAAAACAAAATCAACAAGAAACCAGCAACATGTTGTAATTCTGTCATCTTATGAGAAAAAAAATGAAATGTTTGCACAATTTTTCTGATCACCAGTGAATAATAAGGTACTGTACTTGTCACTGAAATGGCATATACTTGTATTGACATGTCAATATAATACTAGTGCAACAGTACTCCCAAACAGATTCCACTACTCCCACAAACAGGGAGACAGTTAAGTGCCACAGTGGGAGCGTGGTTATTCCCCCACACTGCCAAAGTATAAGTCATGACAGAGTTGAAGGTACAGAAAATTTTAATCCTTCTGTCTGAGAACAGAATTCAAACCATCTGATTCCTTACTGAGACCACCACTATTAGCACATAATAAATTATTCATACAGGAAAAGATATTTTAATTTTGAGATTGAATAAAACACACCTTGGTTGCAGTTCCATGTGCTTCAATGTACTCTAGTGCACTGGTATCAGCACCACACTCCTGATAACACTTTTCCAATAACACTTTATTCATATCTCCAGAGGGACACATTATTCCCAGACTGTTGAAGCCCTCATTGATCGTCTTGGCATGCACCACCATAGCATATACACGCTTTGCATGGCAAGCCTTCTGCAGAAACATCACACAGATGGCCTCACTCCGTGCAAAGCCATTACCTGCATAAATGACAAGAAATAAGTCAAGAGGTTAATTCTTTAAAGAATATTTTTTGAAACAAACTTGCACTGTATACTGACAGAGTCTGTCAAAATTTGTGTATACATAAAAGAAAAATGTCACACATGCTATTTTCACGAAGTTAAAATGGCAACAACTCTGGAAACTTTGATTAGATTCACATGATTTTACTAGAAAAAAAGAGTACTTCTAGACAATATTTGCATTGTTGCTCTTAGGGAGCTGATTAGATGGTGTACTTCAGGTCAAACTTAACCACAAAATTTTATGATTTCCTAAGCTAGCCAAAAATTGAGATACATAGTATTTAAAATCTCAGAACAATTAAGATGCAAGAATCAAACTGTGTATACAATACCACCTAATGGAGGACTGTGAGTAGTATTAATCTTGAAGTTGCAGCTTCAGACATTCCTCAGGTAAATGAGATGAAATAAGATGCAACTTCATCATATTGTAAAAAAGTCTATTTTCCTACCCCATTTACTTATGTCTGACAGCTAACACACTTGACATTTATGTCAAATATATACTGACATATGGAAAACAAACTAATATCTGTAAAATTCTGATATCAGAAAAGTTCAATGCTTGTGCACTACTTCATAAGGAGTCATGCATTAAGACTGAAAATTATCATTAAATTCTGTGACATGTCATGGAATGACCTAGAAGATACATATTTATTCTATTTATAATTTATTTAACAACGTTTTTTATGGTAGCTCAAACTATACAGCTTTGATTGAGAGGATGATGGTAAATAATGAATTCGAAAGGATGTGGAAGGAAGTGGTCATGGCTTAATTTTAGGTAGTATCCTGGCATTTGCCTGGAGACACCAGTCAGAATAGCTGGTCTCTGGGCCAAGATTTTGAAGCCAGGACCAGGAGGGTTAACCACTCAACCACAATATGGTATCATAAAAAAACCATGAGAGCATCCATGACATTCCCATAACTGGATGTTGATGGCAAAATCATAAGAAACATGGAAAATATTATTGTTTAAAAAGTGCACAAGGAAAATTCCTTAATTCCATAAAAGCCTGGAAAAAGAGTTGAAATATTTCTCTGTTTTATTACAAAACTTAAATGTCTGGCTATGCATTAAAATACAAATATAATCACCTGCCAATTGTACTCATTGTTAAAAAAATTAATTATAAATAAACCACCTTAGACTGATTCTTCATTTATTTAATGATGGGTTTCACCTGCCTAATTTATGCATTGGCAACAAGGTGAGAAGTACCATGACACTAGACAGCAAATATCTTCTTGGGAGAGACTAACAACATAATAAATCTCATTGGTGACCTAAGCTTACCGTATTTGTCGAAGGGCCTGCAACAGCCTTCAGGGCTTAATATACCAAGGCATGAGACCTGAAGACTTATGTAAGGATGAAGACAAAGGTGTGAGCCACTCACAATAGCAGATTCACAAGATCCATTGCAAATGGACCTATACGCCTGTTCAAATGCACACGCACTTGATGAACATGCTGATTCCACTGCATAACTAGGTCCTGGAATACAATGCACAATATTTTATATGGACATATTTATCTACATTACTAGTAACCCTTCAAATGCCAAGTTATTTTTTCATACACAAAAAGCAATGTCCTAAATGCTCACTGTTTACTCCTGTTGTTGTTTAAAGGCTTAGAAACATTTCAACTTCTATGGTTACTTATGACTTTCTACTATTGAAGAAGGCCCAGCATGTATTTCAGACATGGCAGTGGTGCCCCCAGTTGTCCAACCATAGACTACAAGACACAGTAAGAATCACATCGTGTAATATGGCTTTGTGATTATCATATTGCGTTCTAATCCATGGAGACATATTAGGGGCCTGACCCTTTAAACTTTAAGGAAAAACAGTACATTTTTCCTGCATGCAAGTTTGCATAAATCATAACAAATTACTTCTTCTTATGAATTAGTCCCATGTGGCCTGCAGCAATTCAAAATTACTTTTGAAATTATGAATCAGTTTCAGAATTTGGCAGGACTTCTTGGACAAGTGATCAACCCTTCGTAAGGACTCTACCTACACAGGACAACACAACACAGGAAGGCAAAGAAAAACATTCACACCTTGAATGGAATTCAAACCAATGTTCCCATGTCCAAGCAAACAAGGCCCATGCCTCAGACCACATGGCCACAGTGACCAGCATAACACAATACTAGAAATAAAATTAACAGTAAGAAGACAACAACTGAAGGTAAAACTATACACAGATCTGCCTGTAAGATCAGAATTAAAAACAATGTTACTGAAACATAATGGTTTTCCAATAAAACTTAATCGTCTGTGCTCTAAAAGGCCCGGCAGTGCAAATGTTCTTAGAAAACAAGGGACTGTAAAACTGATACAGCATCTCTTGTCACTTCAGTAAAGAAGAAAAAGTTAGAAATTTAAAACAGCATAAAACCATGTCTGTTACATTGATGTGGCTAGCCCTACTACATTTAAAAACACCAAAGAATTAGAAACAGCACTTGATCTTCTGATGAACTGACACTAGCAGGAAAGTGGTAATTATTTATTTAACTGTCCATAAACATTAAAATGTGTAATGTTTTACTTCTACATATAATACTAATTTCCCTAGTTAAATAAGCCTGCATAGAGAAATAAACATTACAAATAACTTTGATTTCACCAAAACCCATTCATCAAGAATGGTGGCATTATATAATGTAAACAGGTAGTTTGAGTGTTTACAGGCTTATTCAGTTACACATTATTAACTGCAAAGAATATGTAGTAATGAGTGAGAGGATAATTTCTGATGGTGTCCAGGGAAGAAGCCCTGGTCTCTTTTAAGTTAGCACTGCTTTGTGTGAATGGATCGAGGAAAATAACAAAAATTCTCAATCTATTTATTCTGGGCCAAAGTTTATAGACACACAGGCAGAAACTAGGCAATAATTACTGTTATGCTTGTGCCTAAATTTGGAGGTCCTTGTGTAGAGATAACTAAATAGACAAAACTATGTGAAGTTGCTAGGAATCAGGAACAACTTACCAGTGATGCCAAGCCAGTAGGATATTTGGTTAGCATACATAGCTCGAGCACAACCTGTGAGACCGTATCCATTTTCATGGGGCCTCTCATAGAACCAAACACTTTCTGTCTCATTAATGCTTGCACCTACAAAAACTCCAATCTTCTGTCCCTTTAAGAAATGAGGGTTGACACCTAACATAAAAAATTCAGTATCATCAATACAAACATCCTCTATGAAATTTTACAATGTGAGGTCTTAAGTACAGGATTGTAGATTTATCAAGTCACAGGTGTATTATTGAATGAGAAACCTGCATCCACCAGGAATTAAGTGTCTGTTTTTTTTTCCTCCAATTCAATTATGTTACAGAAGAGTCATGAAGTGCTGACTTCCAGCTTCTAAGCAGGCCTTGCACCTTCTGAAAATATTTCTTGACACACAATGGAGACATTCTTTTGTTTTCAAATATTTCAATTACAAGGAATGTGAAATGTTCACAAAATCTTTTTCTTTTAGTGTCACTCACAAGCAGAAACTGCACAGATCCAAATCTAGGGCACTATGAGGTCAAAATCCATGAGTTATCAAAAAATGGTCAAATACCGTATATACCGTAATCACTGAGAAATTTTGAGGGCTTTATTAAATAATCACAAATGCAAAGATCCACCTTTTTATTAACCACCTGTTATGACAAATCTCACAAGTAGTGTTATCAAATAAAACTGATATAACCAACTGTGTTTCAGAACTGTGTGCACCTTGCTTCACCCATTCATGCTACAATGTCTGTCCATCTCATAGTTCTTGATTTAATCTCTGCTAACAGTGTGAATGAAGTAAACACTTCTGACTTTATAATTTCTTCCTGTGTTCTTGAATTCCATATTTCTTGAAGTAAAAATATTCTCTTCAGCAATTTTTTCTCAAATAGCCTAAATTTTTGTTATTTCATATGAGAGTACAATTATGCCCTCAAAGATAATTTTATATTTTTCACTTCTGAACATCTGAAAATATGATGAAATACAAGATTGTGAACTGAAAAGCAACATTTACTTCCTCAGGTCATTCCGGTCATAATGTATAATCTTTGTATATGTCAATTTCATTTTTCTGAACTTACCATATTTCCAGCAGTTTTTGATAATACTTGTGGCATATTTTGCACCAACAATATAGTAAAATGTACTTATCTTAATACAAAACTTGGGTGGACCACAAAATGTCATCCATACAGATAAACTATGATGGAGATTTTATATGTTTCAATAAGTTTCTCTGTGCTATGCTAATTCTGCTAGGCCTTTATATGTAATTTTTCACTCTTATCTGCCAATCACTGATTTTGCATCACAGTTATGATGTCATGTCTCATGTTATGCAAAAGATAATAGTATACACAGTATCCACAAGAGTTATTTTCGTTGCATCCTGAATGCTGACAAAAATATATCATATCACACTTGCACTACACAAGTGTTACCATAAGCATCATTCATATAAGCATAGCAGTGGAACACATACTTTGTAGAAATACAAGAGTATGTTTTCAACATAACATTTATTCACTGACACATGCCTATGCATCTTCTTATTCAAAAATAAAATGTAGCAAATTGCTGTCAACTTTATGCTTCTTTCTTTCTGCTCTGCTTATTCATTTGTCTATTGGAAATTTTTTGTTGTGATAACAGCATACTTTCAAATACACAGCCTTGATTTTGTTTATATATATATATATATATATATAAATTATTAAATTCAATGTGTAACCTATGATATATGTTGAAATGTCTCTCAACATTTTATTTATAAAGAAAAATAATTCATTGATTATGTTATGCTATATATATATATAAGCAACTTAATTTCTAACTTTACAAATTATGTATTCTGAATATATTCCTGAAGTAATGTAAATCTTTTATAACATTATAACACTTACATGTGTTTTCTCTGCGATAGCATACTAAACAGATGTTTATGGGATAACATCAAGTCAAAATGTATTTATTATTTCATACAAGCATGACAATGATGATGAACATAGTTACAGCAGTTACTTTTCTTGAATTAATACACAGAACAGGAGTAATACATTTCTCAAAGATACAGAATCATTATAAAATTGCTAACCTGCATCCACAATCGCCTCATATGTTCTTTCCAGCAGCAAACGACAAATTGGGTCCATAATGTGCGCCTGTTTGTAGTTAATCCCAAAAAATGATGCGTCAAACTTCGTAACATTAGGCACCTTTCCTGTCCGCTTGGGTAACATAGGTTGCTCTATACAGAAAAAATATGTCACAAAATTTTATGTAAGTCCGAACGTTTTTCAAAGATGATCAATTTTTGAATAAAAACAATTATATATTGAACCTTCTATCCAGCACAATCATAAACACACATTGCAAATCATGAATCATTAGAGAAACCTGGAAGAAATTGTCATGCTGTGTTTCAATATCATCCCCCGGAATTCACCTAGACGAGACGACGAAGGCCACAAGAATCATAGGATGTGTCCCCAATGTATTGTCATTCTACTTAGATTTTGTAGTGAACACGATGGTGCAATGCTCAGTAAGTATAATTACAAAATGTGAAAATGAAATGGTGCACAGCAGGCACAAACAGCATATATGAACACGAAACTTTGCTATATTTTAAATGCAATTTGAAAATATTGATGACAATCTTGTTCAAATCCGGCCCTGCTGCAATGAATGGTATGTGAATAACATCAGAGGCACTGTTTACAATTGTCTCTTCCGGCTGGAGGTCACAGAGTGGTAACGGCGGGGCCACAGCGCCGTATAAATGTAGCGAATGGCCTAGTAGAAACAGGCCTGAAGAATTCCGTCTTCTTGACTCTGTCAGCAAGTTCGTCGAGTTCGAACCAGGATCCTCCGGGAACTAAATGAACGCTGGCTGCTGTGTGACGACCAGTGTGTTTTTTCCACCCAGACACAGGACGACGTTGTACTTGGTCGACCTTGTTGAAAGGGTCAACAGAAACTTTGACGAGAAGCTGCTAACCGGCGCTGTTTTCATAGATGTGGCTAAAGCTTTCGAAGCCATGTGGGTCAAAACTAACCAACCTAATCTGCCCGTCCTACATAACGAAGACCATATTCTCATAATATGACTGCCACTGGTTCCAAACATCCTTCCAGCCTGCTACATACACATGTCGTAACATGCGGGCTAGGGTAGCTCAGGGTGGATTATTCTTCCCTGTGTTGTTCAGTGTGTATCTGAACGACATACAGTTCTCGTAGCAACTTCCTGTATATCGGTTATCTGGAGGCCTACCACGGCACCCTGGATCGCTGGCCACGGGATTAGAGAATTGCTATCAACGTCTCGAAAAGCACCACTCTTTAAGACTTCGTGAAGCATCCGAAAACCCATTGCAATTTAGTTTCTCGGAGAGACTGTACAGTAAGTGAGAACAGCACGGTATGTTTGGGTAATCCTTGACACTCGGCAGCTCAAACATTGGACGTATGGTGTGCTGCTCTACAAGCAGCTCGTCCGCCCTGTAATGAATTACGCATGCCCGATCTGGAGGTCTGCTGCCTGCAACCACATCTGCAATCTACAAGTGTTACAATTTAATCATATACGAATTGCGACTAACGCACTGTGGTACGTTAGTAACAAGAAAATATACGAGGATTTGGGGACCACGACAGAGCATTGACTGAGATCTTCGACTTAAAGTCAGCTGACTTCATCTCTCTTCACCATTGCAGCTGATGCAGGTAGGATGCCTGACAAGAATTTCACATTCATGTCACTATCATTGCTAATTTCACTCTCAAAATATATCACTGAACTCATTATCTTATCTTTATGATAGGTCTTGCCATAATGCTGACTAGTATAGATTCAAAGTCAGGGTGCTTCAAATCACAAAGCACCGCCACTTAGAACTAATTAAAATAATTAATAAACCCAATATGTTTGGTTGTATTAACAATATTTATCATACCTTCTGCAATGGAGTTGTTGATAAGGCATGACAGCATACAAGTTATACCAAACTACAATAAAAATTATGCATGTTTTTTTTCACATCATACCCACCTCACTGGTTAATACTGTCTAAGTTTTTAATATGTAGTCAATACAGATTTCCCTGTTTTCTTCATTTCTTAATTTTCTCTTTTCTGTTCTAGGCTGTAAAAATTCATGCTAACATAAATACTCACTGAACTTCTGTAGTGAATCATCATCTGTCACCATATCCACTTTTTTATACAGATTATCCCGTAACTGGTACACATTTTCTGACTGAGGAAAACAACCTGCAAGACCTGAAATGACAATTTCTTCACCAGGGGAGGGCTGTGCGCATTGTACACTTGCATTGTTTGACACAGACATAGTTGGCAGCACTGGTATGTTTTACTGTAAATAAAATAAAACATTACATTACATAGGCACAGTACATAATTTGAATATATCCTATACCTCCTTATCAGCAATTGGAAAAATTAACCACTAACCACAGAACATGCAAGAAAGCTTACATAAATCTGCCTTCAGTAAATGAGACTATATTTTACAGAAGCACTGCAATTTATGAAACAAGTAGTCATGCAATGTGAGTCATACGGTTTTAGAATACTGTCCCTTGTGTGCCTTTCTGGACTTTGAAGTCCTAATTTCTTCTATCACTTGCTTACATTAGGCTATTGGATGCTGAGTCTTCAGTGAATTACTGTGACTCAAATTATACGAAGAAAAATACATGAAAAGAGTAAATTTATCGATTTCATATAGTAGCTGAATATGAAGATGTGTTTGTACGTCAGTGAATTCCAATGGTACTAGTATTTACAGAATATGGCAATTGTCTTAAATGGTATGTTTTAATTTTATATCATTTAAATACAAAATTATGCATTATAATGCATATATGATTCATTAAACAAAATGGCTTAATTCCAATAATCTACATCTAATAACAATAACAATAATAATAAGCAACTGGAACTGTCTCCAGGTCACTCAGAAAATATTTGGCCAACATTCCGGGCGAACATGACATCAGGGAACTGCAGAAAACTGCCATTTTGGGATCTTCATACATCATTCGAAAGACGCTGTTGTAAAACAATATGTATTCCGGAAATAGCTTCTGCACTATGTACCTCAGGGGCAAGGTTTGTCTCGGGTACATAGAAGTAAATACCCTATAAAACGGTGAATAAATGGAATAATAATAAAGAAATGTAATTAACAATGAAGCAGAGAAGATCTTTAAATACAAGGACCTTCTCACTGAAATACAGCGACTGTGGAAAATGAGAGCAAAAATAATCCCAATAATTATTTGAGCAACTGGAACTGTCTCCAAGTCACTCAGAAAATATTTGGCCAACATTCCAGGCGAACACAACATCAGGCAACTGCAGAAAACTGCCATTTTAGGATCTTCATACATCATTCGAAGGACGCTGTCGTAAAATATATAGTTATCCCTCACAATAAAACTACATAATACATGTAACACATATTAAAAACAAAATGTATTTCGGAAATAGCTGCCATACTATGCCCATTAGGGACTAGTTTTGTCTCAGGTACATAGAAGTAAATATCCTATAAAATGGTGAATAGATGGAATAATTCAATTCTAATTAAACTGTCACTGAACATGTCTAAAAGCAATTTTATTTTCTGAAAAAGCTCAGGTCTTCTGAGCGGTTTCTTCCTACACAGCCTCCAAACAAGTTTTGTTTATACTTTTCACTTCCATCAGTCAAGTTAAATGTCTTGTTCATCTTGAATGAAATATCCTAAAATCTCAGATAAGTAAAATAAGAAAGTTGTTAATACATAATATTCTTAATTTTCCTTGTTCTGTAACTGCGACATAAAACACAATCTAAACTCTTCCTTGGAAAACTAGGACAAAATGCATGATCTGATTTGTAACCATATACAAGTCTTGTCACTCATTCAGAAAAATTAAAAATATGTTAAAAATACATTTATCATAGTTTAATTGCATAAAACTGTCCATTTCTGTTTTCCTTATAATTTGCTAACTCTTGTACAAGGTCTATCAAGAGAAGTTGATATTTGCTGTGTTTCCAAGAGCTTGTTATATTGCTATTGTTATTGAGCCAGCTGAATAGAGTATCACAATCATTTAAAGATTAATTTTAATATTGTCCTACTATTTATTATTTTCTGAAAAATCCTTCATGAATGAAAGCAAAAATAAGATAATTACATCTAAATTCAAACCACAACAGCACCTCTCTATGTGATCTTGTTTTCTGATATCAACACAAATGTGAACTTGTACCTAGTGAGCACTTTAATATTCACACTGCACTGAGAAGTCCAAGAAACATTTTATTAGTTCTGGTGGAATACAAGTTCCTGCACTGTCACATGCACATGAATTATTGCTGATTCATTTATGACAATGCATATCTGTTGAGTGCTTCATAATACTATAAATATTTATAGTGTAAATTGGGTTGTAAAAAGTCACAAAGCCAGGGTTAACCATCCTCTCCTTATTAAGTAAATCAATTGCTCATTCAAGTTAAACCTTATTTTATAGGTCTAGAAACATAATCAATAATAACAGAAGACAGTGAGAAAATAAGCAAATGAGGGAAAGAAAAAAGATGAAGAATAAAAATGGAAAGAAAGAGGGCATAACTTTTTCCAATGATTCCAACTCGAACAGTAGTTTTGCTTAAGTTAAGTACCATGTAAAATGACTGTTACAGTGACTTGAGAACTGTTCCAAAATAAAATCTGAGATATCTTTTAATAAATTTGTCTTTAAACTCTTATCTGGAATCCTTTAAGTGTTTTAAAAGATGAAATATGTAAATGAGACAGAGACAGTATGAAAGAAAACCATGATTTTGGTGAAGATAAGACATAACCCTGTGACTCAAATTTAATGGTACCTAATGCGCTATGTACATATTGTCATTAAAATTTGCTATAATATTGCAAATTACTTTGTGTAGTTTCTCATAGTGGTAAATGCATCAGTCAAAATACATGTGAAACAAATATTTTTCTAGCAGTTTTGACTCGTGTTTCTCAAATTTAATTAAAAGATGGAGAGGTTTCTCTAACAGTTACATGACTTAGAAGAGGGTGGTATGCTGTAGCTATGGCTTTGGGTTCTGTTCAGTACAGTTGTGAGTTGAGACCGAAAATGGTGGGCAGCAGAGAGCGAAGAAGCAGTCTTAATATGCATGCAGAGATCATCTCATACCAGTTTGGAACAAGACACAACATTGAATAATCGAGATTTATGGCTATAAAGAATTGTTATCAAGTCAATAATTATTTCTAACCATGCTGGGATTAATAAATCCATATTTCAGACAGAGTACCCAGTAAGTTAATTACTAAAGCTGCAAGCCCCCCTCTGCTGCTATAGCAACTCAGCTGCTCTTGTGTAGTGTCCAAGTGATGTCAGACAGTTACCGTTCACAGTGAAGACAAGCGATAGAATTACAGCTGAGCTGAATACTTCATGTGTATAATCAAATCCACATTGGGCAAATTTGCATTTGAAGGAGAGATTACTGTATTATTTTCTTTGCATCCTACCAGAATTTGTCTGCAATATGGACTTCATTATAAACCTCACGGAGCTATTAATTGCACTTACAGAAAGAACGATTGTGTATCATCTTCCTGAACAAAAATATCTGTATTCACTACAGTGGTAAATATACTGAGGCATCAAAAGAGAGTTTCTTCTGTAGTTACAGTCAGTGACAAAAGTTATGCTCTTTCACCATTAAATAATAAAATGTTTATCCAATAAATCATACAAATAAAGAAACTATTTACACAGATACATGAGAAGCAATAGAAGTATTCTCTTTACTTAATACTGAACTAGTACCTCCTAACAGAGTTTTCATATGATATTTAGAGAACTGAATGGAACTTAATGAAAAGAATATTATAGTTTCCAGTTCCTTGTAAAAACTATCCTCTGTACAACACTTTTATCATCAGATGGGTCATACATATTCAGAACAAATTAATAAAATCATTATTCTGACATAGAACAAAAGGATTCTTTGGGCCATGGTTGAGAATGGAAATAGCTGTGGAACATAAAAACTGAAGCATTGCTACTGCCACATTCCTTGTTTATATTTATCTTGTACACTTCTGAAAGGCTACATTTATTATTACAAAACGTTTTAAACCTCAGCAAATTCATTCTTGTATGAATAGCTAGAATTACAAAACAAAACCCCCCCCCCACCCCCCCCGCTTGCTTCGTACGGGTCCATCTCATACGACCAAAATCAGTCCTTTGCGCAAGTACCAGCACTTCTCGCTCGGCCTCATTCAACTGAGGATTCACCAATCCGAACCTCTTTTGTGTCTAAATAAGGGAGCAGCTTAATCTATGAAAGATGTGAGAATCAGTCACACAGGTAATAAGTCAGATTTAACATGCATATATATCGTATTTACCAGAATATAAGACGATAATTTTTCTTAATTCATTATCTTAAAGTGGGGGGGTTCGTCTTTTATCGCGCAAAAATTTTATGAATATGGCAAATGTTTTTGTTGTTAGTAGCACGGCAAATATTATTATGCTGGGAAGTACACCTGTTTGGTTATTTTGTCACTTACCACGCAACCTCATGTATGGCAACATCCTTGAATAGATGAATACTTGTTTTTGTAGTACTGTGAATTGTTTCAAAACAGGGAAGTGGCTTACCGTACAACTGTTTCGCTGCGTCAAAATGACGCTGCAAAACACCATGCATGTACCATTTTTATACCCCCCCCTCCATCTTCTTACATGAGTATGTTGTGCACCTTACTTTTAAAGACTGAATACAACTTCTCTTTAACTCTAAAATTTAACTAATCTAACAAATTCCAATACTTCCTTTACGTAACAATTACTACATGGGAGATTTCCAAGGTCACGTAATCGGACTTTATAATCAATTTCCTGTGCCGGATTTCCTTTATTTGTGTTCACATGGTTAAGAAAACAACTACTGCATATTTAACAGTCACATTATATTCTTATTACTTCGATCACTGTATAAAAAAACATTGGTAAACTTTTCAACTGGAACAGCCATGAGCGATATTTTCTGTTTTAACACACGACATGACCAAATTTCTCTGACAATGATATTACATAGACGAAGGAAAAAGTCCTGACAATGTATAATTTTAAATGTAAGGAATGATTCATACATAATTTGTATGAACATTTATATCTACCTCCATAAAAATCTGCAAACGCCAACTGAAATGGTTCATTAGTTATCACCATCGAAGAGAACACCAACTCAAACTTTAAATCCAACTTAACCCAAAACACCATAACAAGGAATCTAAATATTGTAGCTTTCAAATGGCTGCCATGCTTTTGTTTTATATTCTATTGAAAAATTACCATTAATAAAAGATTAACGTTTTTTGATCATGTATTATCACATACAATTTCAGAATGTTGCATTAGCACTGGTGTTAGCATTGTTTCCATCTCACAAGTTTGGATCCATTGCTGATGAAAGTTCAAAGGTTGGTAAACCCTCAAGGCATACATTTAGATCAAGTTTCATAAAAGTCTGTTAATATTTTTCCAAAAGGTATTAGGTTCGAACAGACACAATGACAGAATAAGCCAGTTGTTCCTTATAAAATAAGACACTCAAAAGCCCTGGTGTTATCTACACGTGTCCACACTGCAGCCTGAAGTCAATCACTGATTTGATTTACTAAACATGGGTTAGATTCTAAAACTAACAAACTTCTGAAATACCACTATAAAAATGGCTTATCATTTTATTGTGAAGAAAAATGCCATACACTTTCAGACACAAGACATACTATAAGAATTCCCTTCCTTCATACAGTACTTGAATCTCTCAAAGTAACACAAACTGTATGATTCAGACTTTGCTGCATTGTAACAACAATGCAGCTTCAGTCAGCATGGTTGAAAAGTTAATTTATAATACTATGACATCATCATTCACAGATATATATTTATGCTATGAAAATTAAGAGGAAAATGTACACACTACAAAATCATGGGACTGGTTTCTCACAACATGGTTAAGTTATGCACATCATCTCTGCATACACATATCACGCAATCACAACACAAATGCATGCACAAATTCTGCATAACCTTTCATGCACAGTTCCTGTGACAGAAACATTCTCTTGTTGTTTGTGTGCTGTAAGAGAACAAGTTTTAATTTTCTTAGTTGTTCTAATGATGACTACTAATGGTAAACAACCATATTTGTAAAATTACCAAATGTTACAAAATAAAAGAAGCAAGCTCAGGCTTAAAAGAAATTGTGATTCTTGCTCTATATTTCTTCTCCTGCAGAAGATGAAAAAATTAAGATGACCTGATATTGCAGACTATACTTGTTACGTACACCTCCATTTTAAAACTGACAGTTTTAAATTTACTTATATGATAATAAACAAAGAACATGTATGTCAAAAACATATTTCTTTAGTTTTCATTCATATTAACTTCCACTAGTTGTCTTTCAATCACACGGACTGTTCTTTCCAAAGCCCAATTTACAAAATTCAAATATATCTAGTTACAACTGTTGTCAGTACAAGCTAACACTCTCCAATCACTATAGTTTCAATCCACAGAAATTATTTATCTTCTGAATTCTTTGTTCCTGAACCCCTGTACTTCCACTCTTCTACAGAAGGCCCTCAATATCTTTCTGCTTCCCAATCCAGTGCTTTCTATATCCGCCGTCCACTATTTAAAACCTTCGTTTCCATACCTGTCACTGGGTATTCATATGTCATCATGTCACCACTTGTCTCGCATGTCATATACATAACGCTCAGCAGCATCAGACTATAAGGAACACCCCTAGCGAGAGGTTCAGAAACCAGTTCTCTGTCAATTCTGTCTGATTTATTTTTGCAACACAGTGCCCATGTCTGCAAAGTCAATGAGAAACCTAAATGCTCAAGAATAGTCCCCACTTTGGAAACGAAATTTAAAATTATTGCTAATTTTGAAGCTGCCAAACGTGCAGTTGATGAGATGCATCAGATGAGAACACGGAATACCACCTTGAACAGTGACAACAAATGTAAGTGATAGAGAAATTTTTTTCTTGAAAATGGAGAAGTTATTATTTGGATTTCTCATAAAGCTAAGGTAGATAAAATGAACTTTACTCTGATAAGGCATAAGACTAAGAGGGTTTTTGATAATCTCAAGGACAGATGAGGTTTCACGTTCTCACAGCGACAAGTATGAATGTTGCGCCACGTAATCTGGTAGAAACTGACACGTTTCAGTGATGTTTACCGCGTCCATCACAAGCACCTACATTAGATTTCATTACACATCCCAGAATGTAGCCATTTTCATCTCAAGATTAGTCTTTACTGATGTTTATTTGCCCAAAACATAGTTTAGTGCTTAAGTTCATGACTTAGTTGTAACAAATTATCATTATAACATGTCAGTATACATATTTCTGTGCATGTTGTTCCCTTAACTGTCACAGTTTCATGGGCCTAATTAAAGATAAATATTGAGGGCCGGCCGTACATTAAGCTACATTACCGGTTCATGTCATGACCAACAGAAAACTTGGTATTCTCATTCTATAAGTCGATTCACATGACCTCTCATCAGATGTAATTAAAATACAAATAAACTCCAAACATTTGAGCATCTGAACAATGATGAACAAAAAACTACACACAATGCTAAAATTACTCAGGCTAAGGAAAGAAAATGCATTTTTGGCACCACTATGGAATGCTGGATTACTGTGTAAATCTGTTCTCATGAAAGGAACATATTAAATAAAGTACAGCACTATGAATGTTCTGTACAAAACTTTGATCTAGTACTGACAATGTGATTACTAATTTTTCCTGAGTAACTATCAATAATTACTGCTGGTCCACCATAATACTTCATATTGTAAAGATGGCCTGTATATGTTAATTTTTATTAAGCTTATATACTAATCAGTAAATGCCAACAAGCACTTCCGCTAACCCTGCAAATCCTGTGTGGTAATTAATGCAGTTTAACTATGGTAAAAAACCTGACCTCAATATCTGGAAAAAGTGAGAGTTTTAAAATTTGACTACATTTGACACATCAGTTTGTATGACATATGCAGGACAGAAGTATAATCCAACTTCTGAAGCATCTGTAACTTTATAATACTTCGACACTAACAAAGTTAAAAAAAAGACACTTCATTCTCATGTTCTTTGCACAATGTACATGAAGTAAAAGCATACGGAGGAGGTTATGTGTATCTGTCCACTGATGCACATGGCACATGTTATACCTGTGAAACTACTTTTAGACTACATTTGGTGTTGATGGTCTACACTATAAGTTAGACAAATTTAATTTTGATTAATACAGCCCCTACTTTACATGGAACTCAGACTGAACTCCTTACAAATTCTCTCAAAAGGTTAATATGGCAAAAATCTGTATATGAAATAATATAAGATCTATGGCTTTCATTAAAAATATTTTTAAATGTAGCAAATAATTAAAGATATACAAGCCAAAGTTGTGTCTTTATGCAGCGTTGTCTCTGTAGTGTGACTAGCTTTGTAACAGCAGGTTTTTATCAATAAATCAACATGAAAGCCAATGAGCCATGTAAAATAAAAAGTGCAATCTGAAAACATCTGTACACCTCCCACCCTTGTTAAAAATAAAGACTATTAAGCTTCATTTATTTATCAATGCTTTGTTATTTGCGGGTCATACATAGCATTATGTCAGAAATGATGGAATAACTGTGAACAAGGACATGAGAAGAATATGAAAGGCAGTAGCCACATTCTATCATAAGACATTGAGCATGTTTCTGGAAAGACTGAGAAAAGCCATGAAATATGTCACATTCCAACCCGGTATTTTTCAAACATGAAGGGGTGCTGAAGATGACAAAATGATATACGGTATAGTTATCATGCAACCACATATTAGGTTAAAAATATATGTTTGTTAATTTATTTTATCAATGAGAATTAAATTTTTCATGGCAGTAAAATAATCATAGTTCTCTGTGTTATGAGAGGGGTGATATATTCCTCCAAAATGTTAGCAACCACCTGAAGGTTAATAACCCAGAAGACAGCCCAATTTCACCAGTGTTTGCTATAAACTGTACAGAAATAAAAGTGCCATACAGTCACAAATAAACTATGTAGCAGAAAAAGAGTTGAAGAACTCTTGTTCTGTAAGTATAAATATGTATGCTTACAATGTTCAATGGCATTGTGAATTTTTATAACAAAATTATCTAAAAATAGCTTACAGTACAAAAGTATGTAAGACACCTTGTTTTACTTGAAACACACCTCATGAATATCCAATCAGGAAAAACAAACAAATTCATAAATGCCCATGTGTAAAGCAGAGATTATTACAACTGAGTCAGAATGAAAATGAACTTTCTTCAACAAATTTTTGTGTCGATCTCCAACCCAGAACTTCATGGAACTGAAATAAGCACATGGACAAACAAAGATTTCCCAAATGATGACTTTTGTTGCACACATTGCAATAGTGTAGAAAAATCAAATTATCACTCAAACCAATCCTGGATACCTAACCATCTAATATTCTAATGCCAAAGTCATTACATGCAAACAAATGAGAAGCTTAAAAATGAACCATGTTAACAATGTTTCAACACATACATTTATCCCATCAATATAAAATCAGACTATTTATGTGCCAGCCCTGTATATTTCATTTTCCTTTTTTTGTAGGAAATTACAAATAGTGAACATTTGACTTTACATATGTTTGTAAACAGTATACTATCTAGCCAATAAATATGCTGTAATATTTTCATTCCTAACACTTTAGTGTTTTCCACATTAGTATCAAAATAAATTTGTAATTTCCCAAATAAAAAATGTGCACTGGAAGGTTTACAAAAGAAATGTATTATGTATAAATACTATTTTATATATTATAAATAATATATTCATTTAGGATGAGCAGTTATATTTTATACAAGCACTAATATCAATAAACTTATATTTAAAAACTTTGTATGCACAAGTTTGTGCAAATACCCTTATTTAAGTTTAATTGTAAAGTTTACTGTGATGTTTTAATTTGCATTGAAAGTTCATAAGACCAGAGCAGCAATTACGTATTTACAAACTTTCAAAAATGGACTAGATAGTAGCACAGAAATATTTGTAACTAACCAACTATTCAATGCAGATCAAACTGATTCAGTTCTCTCCCAAAAGAGAGTTCCAATTCATAGAATCGCTACTCCACAATCTAGCAAGTCATTTCTTGCACCACTTTTAACCAGATTTTCTCATTACTGAGTTCAGTTTGAGGTTATAATTCTTCCCTCAAACAATGTAGTTATAATATTAATGAAGAAATACATAACATTTAATTTCAGTCACCTTGTAATTAAGATAAAAAGCAACAATAATATGAAATGCTATTTGCATGTAAGTTTGATATTAAATGGAAATTTTCAGTGGTGAATGTAAAGATGTTAGTTTTATGTTTGCCTACAGCATTTGCTAAAGAGACATTAGACAAAATGCTGGTTAACACCAAATATTTAATGCAGCTCACACCCAAAAGCCAAAGTTATACAGACCAAATATTTAATGCAGCTCTCACCCAAAAGCCAAAGTTATACATTATGTGAAGATATTAATATTTTACGAACCAGAAATACAGATAGCAAGTAACACTTTTTACATTGATGATGTCTGTTTGTTTAAAGAACAACTAAATAATTTTAACACATGTAAAGAGCATTAAGAAATTTTGAACCTGACCCTGTTATATTGTATTTTCATTTTGTTAAAGATTCTTTTGTAATGTATTCAATATTTTGAACACAAGAAATGTAGCATGTAACTTTTATTGTCTTGATGATAATAAGTATGAATATAATTTAAAAGGCAGCCAAATGATTTCGAACAGTGTTTTCATTTTTACTTTGTAATATCATCATAACTCTTCTTGTAATTTCATATGTTTTAGAGAAGAATGTAATATGTAATGTTTTCACAATAATGAGTATAATCTGTTTAAACAGAAGTGAAGTGCAATGATCTTGTGTTTCATTTCATTTTTGTGATATTACTTTTGTTTTAATGATTCTGTGTAAACTGAAAATTCAATTTTTTAAAATAAGACATTTTTCCATAATTCAATGTGTGTATGTGTGTGTGTAATTTATTTAAACAGAAGCCAAATAGTTAAAAGCAATGTTCAATAAATAATTCCACTACCTATACTTTCTATTTTGGCCTTGTGATACTGTTTTCATTCTTTGCCTTTTTCCTTCTTCAAAACCAGCCACTGTCCATGATAAACCAAACTTGAGAGATACTTTTATGTTTTATTTTAATAAACAGAAGGTTTATAGTCTCTAATAACTATGTTTTAATGCAAAACAATTACAAAATTAATTTTGTTATAGGATATTTTGTTTATCTTGAAGAGTTCTGTTCTTTCACTATTGCTGATTTTGTATAAAAAAAACTTTAAATTCTTTGGAAATACTTTATTTTTTTCAACATATATGTTTTGTTTATTCAAAATGTAGAAAATTTCCATTTAACATCATTTTCTAAATTCCCTATTTCATTTAGTCAGTAATAATACTGATTTTAATTATAACACTTCATACAGAATGATTTAAAGGTTTAAGCCTATTATCACAACATATATTTTTAATAAAATGATCTATGCAGATCAATTAACGAGTCACCAACAGGGAAAGAACGTGATTTGTAAATGACAGCTTCAAGGAAATTCTGACACATTACCAAGATCTCTCTATTTTTGTTCTCTATATAAATGAACAAAATATTAAGATGAAAAGCACTTATAAGCCTGTAATATATACTGCAGTAGTGAAAGACATGGAATGTATGCAAATAAGTATGGAGATCAAGGCATGTCAGAGTATTCTAATTCTTTTGGATTTCTTAAACTGAACATTGTAATTACTGACATGGAACAGCAAACTTAAGATACTTAATAAAGTGATAATCAAGCAGGTAGGCATATAAAGAGAAAAATTCCTGGGCCCTGAATAGCTATCATTGACAGATAAAACAATGAAGGTGATCCTTATCTTGCACAGCAAGTGTGAATGTCATTATTTGCTCCATGATGCAATCCACTGGGCTTTCTCAAATGCAACTGGTCCCAAGTCAGCACGTCTGTTTCTTATGCCGCCACTGCTCAGTCATCCTGGAACAGATCCAAGATTTAAAAAAACATTATCGTACATTAATTCTTTTACCCCTCCCATGTGAATATGTGGCAAAGAATATTGTGAATTATGGATGGGACTATTCTGCAAAATATGCAAAATTCCAAGCATCAATTCCTGCAAATCCTTCCCACCCACATGGTTACCAGAACCATGTCGGCTCCAAAATGTCACCACCACCTTTCCTCAACCACATGCTCCTCTCCCATTGGACAGCAGCCCATTCCTCCACTCCACCAACCAGCCCCATCAAATTTATATCACCACTCACTGCCTTCCCTATATACAGCCTCGTGAACTTGCCCTTGCCCCATCTCGCAGCCATCTTGAAAATGGCAACTGAAATGTTTGCCAAAATTCAATGTGGCTCTCACCCAAAAGCTGAAGTTACATATCAATTCCTTGCTTACAGAAAATTCATATAAAAAGATAAGGATAAATAGTAGAGGGAGAAAAGGAAGAAATAATATTACATTACAGCCAAATGTGATATAAAAGAAATTAAGAAAACTGACGTCATACAAACAGTGCCACTGGAGGCAAACAAACTCTCTGATTTTGGATGCAGCAAAGTGGCAATTCTCTGCGATAGCTACTTAAGTAGGTTCAGAAACACTACACTCACCCACTCATGTTCATCAACACCCTCCATCCCATCCTGCTCAAGCTTCAGATTCACTTCCATTCGACTGCCAACTGCTCGCTGAATCTGCATGACAGAAAAATCTTCACTCACAAAATCACCCATTCTGCTTCTAATTGCATAAAACTGCCAAACTTCAGCGATTACAGTGAACATTATGTTTCAATGTACCAACACAAAATGCAGACTTGCAAGTTTACAAAATCCATTAATCTATTCTGCACATACAAAACTGCCACAAGGTAAGATGTTTAATGGTATCAGCTAAAGAGATTATTTAATGTAAAAATGAAACATTATGGATTATGTACAAATAGTGAATTGGTTAAAGACTTAGAACATGAAGTCCTGGTCTACTTTCAGGTGGTACAAGCATGCTGATAAGGATTATAATCAAGAGTTTCCAGATTAGTTAAGATGAAAACATTTGTTGAGACACTGAGACGAAAATGAAAACTCTACACGCAAAATGCAAATATTTAAATTCATATACAAAGGATAAAACTCATATTTAATCAAAAAGCAAGTTAAAGGCCATCAAAGCTATGCTATAATTTGGAACTTAGTTTCTGGAGGCCTGGCTTCAATCCTAGTCTTAGGGCAGTCCATATGGAACATGTTAATTTTTCTCATCATTTGCATAACATTTCTTCAATGCCATTAACTTTACTTCCATTGTGAATATTTATTTCCCTATATTGGAATCAGTTCATGTGCTGCTGACCTCCATTTAGAATCACAGGTTTTACTTTTTTTGTGATTTCAACTACTCTTCTCTCAGCACTGAATAGTTTGACCAGTCTGTTTCCACCTTGCAAGCATCATTTTAGCTCTCAATGTGTGTTTAATTTCAAGTCAGCTGTTATTATTACTTAATCTGTAACATGAGTCTTACTGTGCAATGCAGTTCTTTTCAGTATCCACGTTTGTTAAGGAATGATAGTAACATAAAAGTAGGGGAAAACTATATCCTTAGAAGAAAAACTCAACATATTACAGGACATTGATAAACATTTTTCACATTTCCTTGATGAAACAACTTGGATTATCAGTATCAACTCTGAAAATGACGGTCAAAAACATGTCGCTGAAAAAATGCAAATCAGCGTGAAAGATACCAAATTCATTTTTGAAGAAGTAAACACATTGCTTATTCTGTGCATAAACTTTCACAGTGTTTGACAAATTATTTTAACTTGCATCAAGATACTGTATATTTTTAGTTTCTGAGAATTATATGTCACCCTCAGTGGACTAGTGGTTAGTGTGCTTGCCACTGGACCCAAGGTTCACGGGTTCAAACCTGGCCAAGGTCAATGGACTTTCAAGGGTGATAAAAATCTATAGCACAACTTCCTTCGGAGGGCAGTCCCATGTCGTAGATTTATGGCATGTAAAAGAATCTTACAAGCATGAATGAGGTATTTCGTAAGCAAAATTCGGCAGCCAGTTCTCACCCATGTCTCTCCTAATTCTATACTAGATTACTCTAGCAGACAAAAATCAGGACTGAGTAGAAATTGTTCAGAGGCAGTGGGCCTGTTACTCATTACTCACAAATGCACAGTTCAAAGATCAAGAAAACTCCGAATGGAGAATGGTTGTAGAGCCAAGGAAGAAGAGAATTACATAACAGAAAAGTGTTCATAAACTGCTTAGTAATTTATGTACTTTATTGGTTGAGGTTTCCAATTAAGGTCAAAGTGAAGGCAAACACTAAGCTTATTAATTTTCATTTCCCAAAATTTTCATCCCCACAGTGTACACCATTTTTCATCAATCCCCCTCAAACTGTAAATATGGGGATAATATGTATTTCAGTTCTTCCCTGCTAATCATTATTCCACAAATGCTCTACATAAATCCATCAATCATTAGGATGCTGGGACAATGGGCCTATTTGAGGCAGCAATGCCAAGGGAGTCAGTCTCATCCCACTCCTATCGAAATGAACACTAATATTTACATTTGACAATAATTTGTTCATGATGAATGTTCTTTATTATGCATTTCTTGCACAAAATGCATAGCAAGAACTCATTATGGGCTGATCATGTCTGTCCGTAAAATAGTTCGTCATGTCTCATGAATACACCAAACAAAATACTTTGAATTACCTGTTTTTTTTTCTCCCCTTCATCAGTTTCAATAATCAGGATTCTACTGTACCATACTAGAATTTCAAATGGTTATCTTGTGGGTTTATGCACCATGATAATTTGGTATCAGATTACAGACTCTTCTGTAAGTGCAAGTTAGGTGCACTTGCTTTATATCTGTATGTAAGGAGTACCTGTTCCTGCTTTTCTTTGGTTGCACCAGTTATGTCCGAATTCCATCCCAGATGATTATATGGCTGCTGAGAACCAGGAAGACTTCCACTTACTGCTGTGCTTCCCGACGTTTTACTGCTGGATTTCTCACCGCTTCCTGCCACACCCTGTGCTCCGGACACTTCAAACAGATCAATACATCCAATCAAATTGAAACAATAAATAAGAATTAATATGTAGGATTTGAGGTTTTCACAGCGGTGAGTCTGAAGATTGCTGTCTTCTGGGTTATTTCGCAATGTAATCTGGTAGATCTACCAGACTACATGGCGCAATAACTCAGAAGGAAAAAGTGTAAAAAAAAAATAATAAGGATTACACATTTTCATTTCATTTATGGCCCATATGCATAGATTCAATGTCGTCTTCCTCCCTTTGAGCTACCATGTGTCATAATGAAACTGAAGGTTCCTAAAGCTAAGACTAATTAAAATCATATTACAAGTAAACACTGATGGACTCACAGCACTCCATGCCATCTGGCTTCAGGCTCTGTCTAGGTGGCTGTTTGTCCATCCCCTGGAACCACTGCGTGCTTGTCAGAGTTGGCTTCCACGTCACTTTGGTTGGTGGGAACAAGTCATCTTGGAACAGATCGCTCTGCACAATGTAAGAAACTCTACTTTAACCACCACAGTTCAACTCAAAACGGCCCACAGGTAAAAACAAAACTCAATATAAATTATATCTGTTGTCATCCTGACACAAGAACATCACTCAAAGGTAGGGATGCTGCACACAGAACATGGTGCCTCTTCATGTGGCCCCTTTAACACATTATTAAGTAACTTCTAGGGCTGATCCTAGGAAACAGAAAATTGGGGGCAACTGTGGTGTTAACAAGTCATTAGAATCAGGTCGCTAAGTCCCCTCAATGTATTAATTAGATAGCAGTCAATTACACCAAATGAGTATGAAACTATTCATGAAAACATGAAAATCAACAGATATTAATTACTCTACATGAGCTACCTATTTTGTGGAGGGGAAATTCACTTATCAACTCTCCAAAATAATTGAAGTATTTAGTGTTGACACTATCAGCAAACTTTTCACCAGAACATGTGTGAGCTCAACACCGTCCCAAAATTTTGGGTTGCAATGTATTTTTCAAGTATCAGAAGTTTACATTGTGTTTAGTAAAGTTTCATGCCAACTGTATTATATGTAAAACTTTTCCCAATGTGCACTGTTGATGCAATTAATTTGCTTCAGCTTGTTTTCAGATAGAATTGTGACAACAGACTTATCACTGAAACTATTTTGAAAACAAATGAAAATGTTATTATAATATGTATCATGTTTTTCCTGTCATTTGCTCCATGTAAAACAAATAAAAATGTTATTATAATATGTGTCATGTTTTTCCTGTCATTTGCTCCATGAAGATGCATCAGTTACTGTTCTCGTTCCAAGTGGCCATGCTGTAGAAATTATTGATTTCTTGGCTGAGAATTTTAAAATCAGGTTCAAAGACTTTTATAGCCATACTACAAATGTACAAATCTTTGAAAACCAATTCTCTGTAATGGCCAGTGATGCTGCTCTTCTGTCCATGACGGTGGGCATTTCATTACAATTTCACATTTACAAATCTCTGGATGTGCCTTTCCAGGGATCACATCCCAGTTGTGCAGCTGCTTACTAATTGAACTGTTACACTCCCTACTTTCCAACATTTATCCTTTACATTAAATTACCTTAATTCTTGGTACAGTAAACGAGAGTGGTTCGATAGTGTTGTTTGTCAGTCGCAAAGCCCGAGCAAACTCAACATTGCTGACATCACAAACACTCTTTGGAAGGAATGATAGCCCTTGGTGCAGCGAGTTACAGCGATGATGGCTTAGAGGACAAAGGTATGGCGCTTCTTCCGTCACTTCAAATGCATAAATAGTAGAGTCACCCTATAAGAAGAAGCACGCAACAAACAGGTAAGTGTATGCCACACCCAAAAATGTGGCTGCTGTAGGCATAAACTAAATTCTTCAATGAAATTATCATGATCATTTCTTCATTGAATATGTAAAACAGCATCCATGTTACAAATTTATCATTTACTTTCTACAAGTGTATTAAGATCAGCAAGTTTTACCTTCATTACAAACAATGGATATCAGTGATTTATACATACCTTTCCTGTAAGGAACAGGGTAGAACTGTCTTCATCATAGAAAGGCATGAGGATTGCTGGAGAAACATCCAATCCTACTGTATTTAAAGGCACGCTTAAACTATCTGCCTTGAATATCTGAATCTGCCTTTCTGAAACCCTGCACAACAGAAATTAACAACACAATTCTAATAAAAGTGTATTCATCCTAGACTTAGTTTCAATCACAAAAACAATGCCTTCTTCTCTGTTCCACCTGTGTCTGAAAATATAGACAGAAAAAAAGAAGTTTGCACATTAACGATTCCCAAACAGACTTTGAAAAATTAATTCCTTCATCTTTCTTTAGGCAAGAGTCTCTCTGCTAATGACAATCAACATTCTAAGTTGGACTTTGACCAAAGCACAAGAATCAACACATTACTTTTGCACTTTAGCCACTTATACCACATATCAAACAGACAAGTAAAGAAGAATAAGGCCAAGACACTGAGATCAGAAAATCACATCCAGTGTCTACAACACAACAAGCAAAATTCAATCTCAGCCATAGGTATGTTCATGTGTGATCAGTACGGCCCAGAAATAATTTCACACAGCACATTCCTCCAAAAGCTGGTGAGTGTTCAGCCGGTCAAGAAATTTCCCTGTCTTTTACAGAACCAAAAGATTCATTACCACGCCAAAAGAGCCTGCCACTAAACACTACACTCAGCCAGATGAATGCAGTCCACACACCCAAGATTTATTTATTTAAATCCCCCCCATTTAGTCAGGCGGCCAGAATATTTTGGCATTTAAATTCTTCAAATGGCAGAAAATCATTAAATAAACTGTAGTCTGTTCACACAATTTTCCCCATATCAGAGTTTCAAAACAACCAGCCTGATGACACAGGTTCCATTTTCCAATCTGGCCCCTTTTTTAACTCTTTAAAATACTGAAAAACAGAATAAAGTGGCAGAAACTTTTCAATACACTGTACCATAGCTTCAGAACGGCATTTCCTCTGTCACAACTGCAGATGCCCAAATGGTCAAAGTCTTGTAACAGCTGTTTATATTATTAAGACATCTATGGCGGTGTAGTAATATACCCATTTCACCGGTCCTTGCTGATTTCAACAGGGATATATAAGTCTGGTAATCTGTAGAGGAAAAATGGCCTAACCAATGCAGATTTATTTCATGTTTGTACCAGTTTGGTTCTGAGAAACTGATTTCAAGCACAGAGGAAATTTCCAGGCCCAAAGCATTGTGTTTCTGCCTGTAAACAGACCCAAGTATCAGTGAAATAGTTATTCATGCATGACAACCAATATACAGGAAGATATTATCATTTTTAATTTATTTCTTCTATGTAAACAACACCGCCACGGTGGTCTAGCGGTTAGAGCGCTGGCCTTGTAATCCTGGGGTCTCGGGTTCGATTCCCGGCGGTGCCCGAATTTATAACTTGTGTTGGGCAAGGCCGTGGTCTAGGCAACACGGAGTTTTCCTCCGGGGGCTTCCCCGGTTTCTCCGTGGCATCCCAACAATTACTCCATTCACACACAGAAGAAGGCAATGGCAAACCACTTCTGGATCATCTGCCAAGAACGTATATGAACAGGTCCCAGTCCGAGAAAACGATGGATGGATCCTGTTCATATGGACCTGTCATCAGACAGAACACTAATAATAAAAAAAAATGTAAACAACCCAGGCATTTCATGAGAGTATAAACTATGAAATGAGTTAGTTTTAAGAACTGGCATCTGAAGCACAGTTCACCATTGTTCCTTCCCAGTGAAAGATGGCTTCAAAGAGGAGACTTCAAGATGAAGACACAGCACAGAAACTGATTTTAGACTGACTCAGATGCCCACATATCTTAAGATGACACTTCTGATCAAAGTGGCAGTGAAACTGAAGAGGACAACAGGACAGACAAAGGCTACAGAGGCTCGGCTGACACTGCACAATCACAAACTTCTGCACCTGTGATATACAAGTGGGTTGAGCCAAATTAAGCCCCTCACACAAAGAAAGATTCATCAACACTCAGCAACTTCATGCTCTTTGTTCTTGAAATCATGCAACTGTTGCTGGAAAAGACAAACAGATATTATCATCAATTCTTAGACACGCTTGATGACGGGAACTCTGCCCTGCCTGATGTGACTATACAAGAAACATACTATTTTTTCTACTGTTCTTCAGATGGCTCATGACCAAAGAGACAGACTGAAAGACTACTGGTCCACACTAGAAAAGTTCTTTATAGCCTTTTACGGACACACAACAAAATGAGACAGAGTGTTTCATGAACAGAGATTTCTCCATTTTAGTTACAACATAAATGACAATTAAGACAGGTTGTGAAAAATGAGAACTATTTTTGATATACTCGATGATGTATATGCCAAATACTACATTAGCAATCAATGAAATCATTGCATGGTTTAAAGGGAGAGTCATTTTCAAACAGTATATACTGAAGAAACATAAAAGGTTTGGAACAAAAATATACAAGCTACATGCCTCTAATGGATAAACACATAACATGTGACATAAGACACAAGAAATACTGGCCCTCAGAAGGAAGATAAGTTAGGCGGCAAGTGTGTTCTGCAAAAAACAGACAAATGCAGACAAAATTCAGATGTTCAAAATGTAATATGGGGTTATGTGATGATCCCTGCTTCAGAGGGTATCACACACAACTTGAAGACTGTCCAACACTATGCTCAAAAAAGTGGAATACAAAATGCATGTGCTGTAATTATACTACTACTTGCAATGATCGCCCTGATGATGGAGGTAGAAAGACCTCTGAAACGTCAGCAAACTTCTACCACACTACACAGCACAACAGCCCAGAAGACAGCCATCTTCAGTTTTTCAGAGTTTTAATTGTTCTAAAATCTCTTCCTGTTCTCATGGTGTAATCGTATCAAGTTTTGTGCAGATCAGTTTTATCCATTTTCAAGCTACAAGCAAACATGCACACATACCCACAATTTAAAATTTCAATTTTATACATGAGTTACTGATAATTTTTCAATTGATGGAATAAGGTGGTTTAGAGGGTGTGGCTTTTATGAAAGGGACGAGATAAGGTAATGCTTTTCTAAATTATTTTTAGATATTTCTGGCCCATTTTTACATGTGGTAGAACAAAGACAGAATGACTGCTTGGACAAAACAAAAAATACTTTGAGATTTTAAAAAATTCACAGGGATTTTTGTAAGTAAACACACCCCTTAAAGTGGATGATTGTAATACAGATAAATTTCTGACAATCTTAAAAGCCAATGAAGTCACATCAGAGACATATATATCTTATTTTACAAGTATATAATATTTTTAACAATGTCACAACGTAATAGGACAACAGTAGCCTCTTACACTTACATGTTATGAGATACATATGTTGCTTTCAGCCTTTAAAGTTTAAAATATATTTAATACTAACATAACATCTACACCTAGGTCTCTCAGTTATTCCCTTCCCTAAAAGTATTCAAATAGAACGCCACATGCATTTCTCATCTCCCTTTTCTTTCATTCATTGTCCTGAACTTGATCACAATAATGTTTGGTAAAGAGTACAAATTATGAAGCACCTCATTATACACAAGTCTGAAAGTTTGTGACGATGGTGTGTTGTTGAAACAAATTGTTTTCTGGACATTATCCATCGTCCAAGATAAATCAATAAAAACCATGACGTTTCAGAGATGGGATTCTAGCTCCATCTTCAGGTAGACCTACTCTGTTGGGCCCAATCAATAGAGCTAATCCCTATCTCCGGACAATTTGCTTCACCTCATTATGCAATTTTCTCCATCATCCAGTTACTTTCTGTTCCTAAAGTCCAAATATTCTCCACAGCAATTTGTTCTAAAACAGCCTCAATTTTTTTTCCCACGTGGTGAGAGACCAGAACCACAAAATATTCTAATAAAATATCAGTAGCATAAGTAGAAACAAAAAACAACTTACTTATCAAATCCTGTAACGACAATGAAGCGCCCTTCAAGGGCCCAAACAACCCGAGCCCCTCGCGATCCTATTGGTCCCCTGCCTTCTCGGACTGCTTGACTCTTTGAACGAGGTTTGTACACACGCAATTTGCTGTCTTTGCTTACAGTGGCACAGTATGCTCCACAAGGGCTCCATGCAAAGCTGAACATCTGAAAAGAAGAGAGGGGAAATATCTTTGTTTAGTATGTTAGTATGACTCTTGTATAGCATTAATGAGTACAAAGAGTCCTGTCTCATCAGCATTAAAATGTAAAAGCATGAACACTCAACACAGAATTTTAGGTGTTTTAAATTTAAAAATATGATTAACATTTATTCAATTTATTTAATAATAATGTATCACTCCAGAGCTTCTGTACCATCAAATAAAAATTAGCAGGATGATTATGAATTTTAAAGTGTTATACAAGTACCTAATCACTTTATTTTAAGATGTGTCAATTTCCTACAGTTAATTTCATTTTAATTTAATCCCAATGAAAATGTTAGCAATGCAATTAATGAATCCCTCTGCCCAGGCCAAAACATGATTTTCCCAGCTGCATGTTCGCCCCCTACGTGTTTACATGGGATTTTTTTTATTTATTTAGTGTTCTGTCTGATGACAGGTCCATATGAACAGGATCCTTCCATCCTTTCCTCGGACTGGGACCTGTTCATATACGTTCTTGGCAGATGATCCAGAAGTGGTTTGCCATTGCCTTCTTCTGTGTGTGAATGGAGTAATTGTTGGGATGCCACGGAGAAACCGGGGAAGCCCCCGGAGGAAAACTCCGTGTTGCCTAGACCACGGCCTTGCCCAACACAAGTTATAAATTAAACTAAAATAAAATTAACTGAATTATCCAGTGATGACTGAATGATAAACTGGAAGGGAAACAAGTGGAAGTCATTATTGTAAAGATACTATCATGGTATTCATTAGGAAGGACTACATGAAAACCATAAAGAACCTATCAGGATAACCAGTGCCCCAAGCAAGTTTTTTAACTAATTACTTCCTGAATGCATTTCACAAGTATTACCATTGTGACAACCCATGCAGGAGTACCAATCATTCAGCACATATAAAAACAGCATCTTCCAAAAATAAAACAAGTCGTCTAAAGGATTCTGACGATGGTCGATTACTCTTAAAATTATTCATTGTCTGGACTTTTTCTCTTCATTTTAAACAAGGGTGATGGAAAAATTCCATACAATGAATAATTTAAGTGTAAAACAAGAGAACTATCACTGAAACAAACCTGTCTGTTTACTTATGAGCATAAACAAACCTGATCAGTGTGTCCTTGCAGCACAATTCTCTCTGTATGAGTCGCTAAGTCCCAGATACGTATTGTCATATCATAAGACCCTGATGCCAACACATCTTCTGCAAGTGGGTGGAATTTGATAAAGTAGATCTTCTCAGAGTGTCCAGCAAGGACTGCATGAGGCTCATTTGTTGGTTCCGCAAGGCCCTCTTTCGGGATCAACCAGAGGCGAATTGTCCCATCATCACACGCTGCAGCATAACAAGAACTCAACACAGTTCGGTCAAATAGATTAAAACATCATGTGATAGACCAAAGTAAACAGCCATATTTCTTTAAAGCCCATCAAATGAAACCTTCATAATAAAGTTATTTCTGTTACAGGAGAGCCATGCTATGGAGGGAAGATCTATAGGCACTGCAATGCAAATATTCTCATAATGGCAATGCATGGATCACATATTGTATGACTTGTTTTGTCAAAAAAGGTGGGAGTGTGGGTTATGAACAGTAATTATGTAACATCCAGTGTTAGGAGCAGCAAGAATGGATCCAGCACTGCAATTAATACTGGACCAATTGCAAGCAATGAAGCCTAATGTATGTGCCAAGCAGGAGGCAAAGAGAAATGACAGAAGTAATGGCCAACAAGGAATTAAAAATTACATATTAAATTTTGTATAGGGAGGTTAAAAATACATTTTTCATACAAGTATAGATTTGTTTATACCAGGCCAACATAACCCCTAAATTAATGGAAGTTCAAATAAAAAATTTCATCAATTTTCTCAGAAAATGACTCATTAGCCCTTCCAAAATATCTGAGTGTAAGTGTGGATTTTTACTGCACAAACTCTCACTAGTTAAGTCAATTACATTTCTTTTTTCCCCCATAATGCACCAAAGAAATCTTCTGATGACTGAAAACACTTCCACATACCACTGTACATAATTTTTAAATGGGAATGTTCAATGCGGGTGACAATATGCTTACGATTTAAATCTATATCACAAATAACATAAAGGATGAGCACAAAAGAACTTTACACTTTCAAAATGATACTGAAAACAAATTTAGCATACTTAGAACTTCACACCTACAACAGTTGATAGAAAAACTCTTAAAGTTTTGTAAACACCTCACAGACTCGATATGTGCTCCACACAGCAGTTGTCAAGACAATAATCCAACTCACCCCAAACTCTATGCAGAGTCCCTAGTGATGGAAGCTATGGCAGTTGTGAATCACTGTCTCAACTCTGACAAAAGAGTTTGGCAGAGACAAGACAAACACTTTGTCATTTATGTAGCCTCATAAGAAGTCATGCAGAGTTAAGTATGGTGATCTTGTTGGCCCTCTGAACCACAAGATTTCACTGGATCCTGCACAACCAATCCATTACTGAAGTCTGTGTGATTTTATAAATAAATTCTGATGCAGGATTTTAGACACAGATGTCTGTGGTAGCTGCAACTCATGACTCACTTGACATGTTGATTTTGTGGGCTGCATTGGAAGCAAATCCGAACAAGGTCCACAGCAGAATCACACACAGAGGGACAACCAAGACTCTTGCTTTTGCAAATGCACCCTTTATGCTCGAATTTCTTGTACCAGGCATAACTCTATGGTTGGAAGGGTGGTTTCATGTTAAATTGTGTGTGAAATGCACAATGCACAGCTGTTACAGACCCTTTCTTCGCTAACTGCAGAACACAACAACTCCTCTGTCTAGGGGTAGCCATTTTCAAATCTAGCTGTATCTAGCAGAGGTGTACAACAACAACAAAAACCACCCAGTTATTTGAAACAAAACTTTGAGAGTTTTTCCATTGACTGGTGTGAGTGTGAAGTTTTAAGCATGCCACATTTGTTTTCTGCGTCATTTTTAAAGTTAAAGTTCTTTTGCACTCATCCTGTATTTAAACATGTTAGTGATAATAAGATTTGTAGGCTATTATTTTACTGCACAAGGCAAGACAACAGATACCCATTTCCTGCAAAATCCACTGATAATTTACAAGTGTGTAAGAAAGCATTAAGAACCACTGCATTATTAAACCACTGTTCCTCACCAACAGCTAGTCTCTTGCAGTTAAAAGGATCCCATGCAAAGTCCATGATGTTAGTTCCATGAACTAATGTTGGTATGACTCCATCTGGAAGCTTGCCAGTCTTGCTAAGTTCAAACACTGCAATCTTGCCACCTGGTCCACTCAGTGGCACCGCAACTCTTTCATGGTTCGCTGAAAATCAATGCTGTCTTTAAAAACGTTTACTGGCCTAAAAAATACCCAAATATAAAAAAATCTAAATATTTGCTCTCTTGTATTTTATTTTCATAGGTATATTCCTGTTCTCAGTACTTATGTCATACTATTCTGAAGTCATACTTAATTTTCTGTGTCTGAAATCACATATGGAAATATTCTTGTCCAAAGGTATTCATGGCTGATGTTCACTGTGCAACTTCAGCTTTTAGGGATAAGCCACACTGAATATTGAGAATTATTCAATGTTCCTGCTAACATTGCGGTTGCTATCTCATCTTCACGGTGGATGTGTAGTGCTTGGGCATTTTTATAAGCTTCATATAAGGCAGATAGTACAGTACGCTACTGTAATCTTGAGGCTTACAAGGAATGCAGGAAGTCCGAAGCATTAAAGGCAGACGCTATCTTTCTTCCTTCCTCCTTCACCCCACTTCCTCACCCTGCAAGTCTCAAGATTACAGTCGCGGACTATACATGGTTATCAGTTGCCTGGCGGAACTAAACCCGGATACAAAAGACATACAACTATCAACGAAAAACTAGGGGTTTACATGATCTAGTGTTCCTGAAGCAAGGCCTACATAAGCCGGATGAGCCATCACATCTCCAACAAAATTTAGATTATAATTACTTTCCAAAACGTTAAAATATTTTTACTTGAGGACATTATAATATTCTGAATATTGCTGGAAAGAAACATAATGTGTCAAACACCTGATTAATCCATTGACAAATAAAGTCAAAAAAAAAGCTAGAAACACTGCCACAGTGAATTTCTTGCCTCTCACAACAAAATCCCATCACCTACCTCACTTTTGTACTTGTCAAAGATTTAAGAGGGCACTTAAAGTAATAATTACCATGGAAACCATCACATTCTCCAGATATCTGCCTGCTGACATTCCGGATATTTTCAATGTGCATTGACTTGTGCAATGGCGTCCCCTTCAGGTGTCGGAATTTGGACACGCGACCTACATACAAATAAACACAGGGCAAAAGTCACACACATACCACCTTACTCATGGTATAATGATAATTTTCATCTATTGCTGCTATACAGAATGTCCCATGAAATGTTAAACAAACTTTAGATGATTATTCATTGGCTTACTTTGAGTTAAAAATATTACTCTAACATGGGTCAAAATCTCAACCACTGCAGTTATATGATAAATATATTCCCATCATCCATCAACCATTGTGTCCTCAACCATATCTTTTGAGCACTTGCTACATTTATCTTTAAATTAACATTCATTACCTGCCACAGTTCAGAGTCAATAATGAACAGCTTCTAAGTATTTGAATCTGCATCAAGCTGCCATTTCTAACTCTAGTCCATATACTCCATCCTCGCCATGTCAGAGAGCACACACTCACCACTCAGTACTTATTCTGTGCTCAATCATCAAGTAAAGAAGGTTGTTTGTTCTATGTCTGGTTGTTTATGTGAAGAAATCCTCACGTTGTGATCAACGATGAAAACACAGTTTACAAATAAAGAGTAAGCAGACATTAATTTCGTGTACAAATTTTAAGACAAGAAGTTGAACAGTATGTGCATCAGTTTCCCAACCATTGCCACCCAAGCAGAGAAGCATTCAGGAACACATACCAGCAGCTGTGAGACTCAAGATCATTCATCACAGGTACCAGGAAGCATGGCATACAACATGTTCATGACCAAGAAGAGATACTGTAAAGAGGGACATTTTAATCCAAAGCAGTCCGAGAGTAAGTGTTTTTCGAACTGCACATCAAATGCACACATCTCGATCGCAGAAATGGCAAACTTTAAATCAGGAAGGTCTGCATCCAAACCGCTGCAAACATGTGCATCTGGTTATAAAATACGTCAGAAAATGAAGTGGTAAGTCTGAAGAACTGTAAGCTTGAGCAACAACTGGTCTAAATTGTCTTCTTGTACAATAACTTACCAAACACAGTTGAAGTCCTCTTGGGTGTTGGAGTTGTGACCGGTTCGGGCTTCTTGTCCTGTGACTTTCCAGCAGCTGTCTGCTCCTGTGACTGCTGTCGCTGTATGGCAACAGGTGACCTCTTATTTGCCACTTCGTCCACTGCACAGGTTTTGGAATTCTTAAACGAGTCCTGCCTTCGTAAAGGAGTTGGTGACAAAGTAGGACTTCTCTTATCAGCTGCTCCTGCTTCTTGAACAGATGAAGACCTGTTCTCATACATGCGACGCCGTTCTGCTATACTGGAACGCTGTACTGATGCACGTTCAAAATCTTCAAGTTTATCATCTACATCATCAAATTTCAATGCATCTGCTGGAAGTTGTAGATCTTGTTCGTTTGCCACCGAGCTAATTCTCTTCTCATAAAATTTCCTCCGTTCGGCAGTACTGGGAGTTTTAGGTTTCCTGTGTGATGTAGGAGAAGACAGTGGCAAGTCTTCTAAACTTCCACTGTTTGGCTGTGCATCTCTCCCTGAGACATCTTCACTATGTAACCCTACTCCACTTTTATTCTCTTCTTCAAACAGACCTATGCTATCTTTACATGGAGAAGATGGAATATTATCAATTGTTTTCTTACATTTGTCATCCAAACATTCTTCCCCTTTATCCTGAAAATCATTTTCAACACAATATGGACTCTGGTTTATGCCATTATTTTCGTTGTCTATTGTGTGCCAACTGTTTCCATGCCTGTTAGGCAAGACCCCATTCATGGCTTCATGACCTGGTGCTACTGGGACAGAGAAGACCTTTTCAAATGAGAATTCCGTTGTTGCCTTAATGTCATCTTCTCCACTTCCAGAACTGAAGTTGAGTTTAGGAGGTGTAAAAGGTTTTGGTCCGAGTCTAGGCTGCTAGAACAAACCCAAAACTTGTTGAGAAAATGAATCAACACAGCAAAACTACAACAAAGCCATAACATCTACTTCATTCATAGTGCAATGTAAGTTACTTAATGGTATACTATCAATTGGAGTGGTTATTTGGCATCACACAATACGAGAAGATGATTACAAAACTGGAAATGAAGTAAAGTGATTACAGGTTATAGAAAAGTACCACAGAGGACAACAGTCAGGACAGGAGGCATCCCGGCCAACATACAAATCAGGCTCCTTCCAAATTCAAGACAGAAGTGTGTTTGAGCCAATTTACGCAGTCAATATCCACTGTCATACATACATACTACATTTTCAGTTTACTCTATTGCAACATTCAATGACTGGTTAACATTATACTGCCCAAATTGGTGTCAGTTTAGAGTCAGATCTAACACAGTAGTACTCTTTGTATATTAGACTTTTACGCTGCACAACAGTGCAGTACTTGAAGAATCACAGGTCACACCCAACCACTGGCACCAAAATTGGGGGGGGGGGGGGGGGGGGGGACAATAATAGTATTAACATGTCAGATTAAATACAACCTCATCACCTAATTACCTGGCATAAATATACCTCAGACAGTGGAAAGCATATATGTATGTTTCATGTCAGATTAAAAGAAAATTCCTTTAACTTCCTAAAATTAATTTCCTTGCCATTTTGAATAAATATCACACAAATCAACAGCCTGAAAAAGAAAATATAATCATAAAAGTCAGACTTCAGACAGAAAGCACATAAAGAACAGAAAGATCAGTTAAGAAAGAAAAGTGCACATTCATCATTACAGCATACAAGAGCATTCATCAAAACTTTTTAGAGATATTTGAAAATCAGATGAATCAAATATAATACTTATGAACAAAACAAGGCTGTGTTGTTGGTCTGATTTGTAGAGAAAATTTCACTGTGTTTAATTTTTAGAATCAAAGGTACAACAGAGAGATAAGTTGATTCACCTCCACCTAGCACCACAATCTAGACTGCACCTCTGTGCTGTTTATATGCAGTTATCATACGATAAATGGCAAATTGGTTTGTGGCAAGTTTCCCATCTCTTCTTCATTCTACTACCAGTTTAATGTAAAGTCTATTTATTAATTTTGTGGTGAAATTTAAAGCAAAATTGCATTAAAAGATATAAAACTGAAACTTCCGTCCATATACCCAAGTACTGCTAAAATAAATGACAAGTTACATGGAAGTTAAGTAAATTTATTAAAGAATGCTGAGGAACTTCCATTTGAAATTGAATTTATATTCCCACATGGCAAAAAAACATATATACATATATACGAGGGTCGCTCATTAAATAATGCCCCACATTTTTTTTCTCAGCCAATAATGAAGATAGAAAAGTGTACTTTTACATGCTTGAGATTTGATGTTTCTCGCGTTCGTGTACGGAGTTTCAAATGATTCCAACCAATGGCGGAGCTGTAGTGAACTGTTAAAATGGCGTCTGTGAACGACTCTCGTTACAAGCAACGAGCTGTAATTGAATTCTTTTTTGCTGAAAAAGAAACTGTGGTGAACATTCATAAACGTTTGTGTGCTGTGTATGGAAGCTGTGCAGTCGATAGGAGCCCCGTTGGTCGCTGGGCTAAGAGAGTTAAAGCTTCAGGAAGTGAAGAAACCGAGCTCC